TTCCCCTCAAGTCAATCATCCCCCCATGTCGAGAATTCCCTCCGAGTTGAGCACTCCCACAAGCTGAGTACTCCTTCCAAGTCAAGTACCCTTGAAGTTGAGTACTCTTCCAGGTTGAGCACCCTTCCAAGTTGAGCACCCCACCCAGCTGAGTACCCCTCAGGTGCTGTGGTGCCTAGATCTACTGTAATTTGGTATATAAATATAGATATATGTCGACCACCCTCCTACTAGCTCCAAATCAGAAGAGGTTCTATTTGACCCAGGACCAGAGGTGAGATTGTCAGTTGCTGCAAGCAATTAGCTAGAAGTATGCTCAAATCCAAGAATGAATGGATTTTTCACTTTGCCAAATTGGGTATGCATGCTCTCCCAATAATGCATGCCTGGCAACCCCAAGAAAGTACTCTGGTCGGCTTCCTGTGCTCACTTAAGCACAGATTAAGGATCTTGTTGCCTATGTTTACATGTCAGCTAGGAATAGATGTCTTTCCTATGAGAAGTTAGTAGCAGAACTTGATTTTGGTGTAGGAAAAACAGCAATTTGAGCAGCTCTGATAAGGGAAGGATTTCACTAATTTCTTGCTATGCGGAAATTACCGATTACAGAACGAAACCATATAATACGACTTCGATGGGTTAAAGAGCATGTGGGTTGGACATGTGAGCAGTGCAATACTATCTTGTAGACAGATGAAACATGGATTATAAGAGAGAGGCATATGAGGACTTGAGTTATAAGGAGGGCTGGGGAGGAGTGGGATTCAATATGTATAGTAGAAAAGTATCAAAAAAGGTAGGGTTAGATATTTTAGAGTTGTTTTCATAATAATATACAGGGTCCTAGGATATTTTGGGAGAAGGATTGGGGATCTATTAACTCGGAAAGTTACTATTCACATACTGTACCCATTATTCATGGGTATTTGGAATTGTGTTGACGAGATGAGATTTATTTAAAGCTTGGACAGGATGGGACCCCAGGACATGCTGCAGGAAATACTACAGCTGAGCTTTAGGAGAGAGGAATTGAGGTTATCTACTAGCCTCCTTTCTCCCCTGACTTGAATCCTATTGAGAAAGTATGACATATTATAAAAAAATATCTGCAGGATAATTTTCCAGAGAATATGTCATATGATAGATTACAGGATGCAGTCAAGGAAGCTTGGAGGGTAGTTGGGCAGTATGAATTCAGAGATCTGATAGAAAGCATGCCTGCCTGGTGTTGAGCTGTTATTGAGGCAAATAGTCTCTTTACCAAATATTAGATAAACTTTTGTACAAGTAGAATAAACTTCTATTTCAGTCATTCCTTGAGCCCCTGCACTTACTCCAAGGCACTATACCTGATTTTTTCTGCTTGCCTCCTGTCAGCAGCAAACTCCTGCTAGCAAAATCTATAAAACTTATATGCTATACCTCCATAATCTATTTTCTCAACTATAATAATCTATCCTCTTATCAACCTCATGATAATAGTTCTCTATTATAATACTAAATACTTATCAGATAGTAAAATATAAATATATAACTCTTTTTATAACGTAATTCTAACAATTAAATTTAACCTAGAAAGTTCTTACTATTTCTATAATTTTCTCTATATTATATCATACCTTCTCTAATATTATTCTCTCTATAAAAATTCCAATTTTTTATTCACTGTTATAAATATTAACAACTTATTTCTTTCAAATATCTGTAATATAAGAAACATAAATCAAAGGGCTACTATTGTAATTAATTTTTTAGTTTCTATTAACTATCTTAATTACTAATTTAGAAACTAGAAGTCTTATTACTTAATAACTAAGTAAAATCTTTACAATATAACTTGCCTGACATAGCTTGTAACATAAGTTTCAGAACTTTCTATTTAGTTTTATATATGATATATGAACAATTTCTGTCACTATATATTTTATTATTCAAATTTTTATATTGTATCAAATCAAGAACAACTAAATGAAGATTTTTTTTGAATTTCTAGAATTCTATTTTCTAGATGAAGACGTATCAGAAATTAATATCCAAGTTCTATATAATACTACCAGAGGAGTGGAATTTTTACTTGGAACAATATGATAATACTAGTAAGTCAAAGTCTGGAGTTTCAATATAATAAGGATGTTACAAATCTGACTTAGTAAGGATTAGGTTTCACATGACTTGGAGTTCTGAGTCATAGGTATGTTATGATATTTTGCACCTGACTTACTTTAAGAGTTATGGGATTTTATATGGCTTACAGTTGTAATATCATTATTATATTATAATTGGTTGATTATTTAATAACTCACAGTTATAAGTCATATGATATTATAATTTCTGCACATGACTCAGATTAAGAGTTATAGATTTTACTCAGGTGACTCAAGTTGCACACCTGACTAGGTTATTTGACTTTAGTTAGTTTAAAAAATATTGTTTAGCAATTTATATAAGTTAACTGAAGGATCTTATATGACTTACAGTTCTAAGTCATATGTTATGTATAACTCATAGGTGTGAGTCATAAGGATTAGTAGGATTGCATGAAGAGCAACTATATAAAGAGGCAATAGGACCCAAGGGGAGAAGCTCTTCACACTACCATGTATATATTTCTTTACCTATTAGTTTTGTTACTTTACTTAAAAAAAACTCATTATATTCTTTCAGAACATCTATCGTTCCCAGAAAACTATCAACTAAGAGATTACTCAGTAGGTATTATACAATAGGAGTCATGGACTTGGTTATTAAAAATAACATAGCTATTGACCTAAGAGCTAGTAAGTTAGATAAGAGAAGTCATTACTTGATGTTCAAGCCTGAGTCTCCATTGTGGATAGGGATTGTCATAGAAGAAGTAAAAAGGATTTCACTAGTATAATACAGATTTATCTTTCTCAATCATGTAAAGAGAACTCAGGCAATATGTGAAGGAAAGGGATATGCACCATATGGAAGAGGGAAGAGAAGATAAAAAGAAAAAGAAGATATGTTCAGAGGATACAGTTGAGTGATACATTATGAATAATGCCAAGCCTGAGCTTTCTTACCTACTAAGGACGAGGCCCAAGAGAAGTCACCAAAAGTCGAAGTGAGCGGGACACCGCTCCTCCAATACAAGGCTACCATACCCTTAACCTCCAAAAGCACCTAGAAACCTTGGCACCATTTTGGGTAGAATGGCCAAGATTTCTGAATACCCCCCGAATCGGTGGGCGGCCTCCCGCATCCGAATAGGGTACAAGTATATAAAAAAAATCCGGTATGTTGGAGACATTCCTGACGCATAGTCTAACTCTATTGGCACCTGTAAAAGAGTCTCCCCCAACCCTCCGGCAAAGACAATCGCAATGCTCACTGATACTCTTCATTACCATAGCGCTTGAGCGCGGCGCCTGCGACGAACCTCGCGCCGCGCGCGGATTCCTAGCGCCGGGGGATAACTTACCCGCGATCTGCAGAAAACTACCGCATCACCCGACGATCGGACAGCGCGAGCGAGATCTCCACGTACAGTACAAGGCGCTCGGAATGGGAGTTGGGGGAGGGGGGAATATGCACGGGACAACCGAGGGAGATGCTGGTTGGGGGCGCACCAGGATGTAGCCTCCGAAATTGCGAGCAAAACCCCAGTCACTAACCTGGACATTTGGGAACCATCGTGCCCGGAAAAAAACACCCATTGTCCTTCTCAATCCGGACGATCCGGAACAGTCATGAAGTCTACGGCCCTCTGCCTAATTGGAAAGACATGGATGCGGCGGCGTTGCCTAGCCTGATTGCACAACCGCTGCTGCGTGTCCGAAGGTACGGTACGATAGTATAGTAATTTACGTGCCCCAACATGACTCTTAAAATCACCACATGAGCAGAGAATTGACCCCGTTCCACCAAGGCTTCCGGTGGTGAGTGCGAGCACAGTACAGTACTCGTAAATTAGATCCTTTACCAATCCAACGGAATACAATGCAAGTAGGGAAACATTTTCCCCTGACGCAGTACGATCTTACGGTACACCATCATTTATTTATTTATTTATTTCCATCGACAAGACGACCAACAACCAGCATTCCTCCCATCGACCCCCACCCCCCCCCAAAAAAACTCCCCCCAAACTTACACAAATCGGTATATTCGACCAGCAATTCGTAAGTGTTTTTCTTCCAGACCTTCTCTTTTCAGCGTCGCACCCATTGAGTGAGCGTTTTCTTTTCTTTTTTTCAATCTATCTCACCCTTGCTCACGCTCAGGTTTTATTATTTCAATATCACTATCACTATAACACTGTACTAGAACAGTATCTATACTCGAGTGCCATAGGTACAAGTACAGTACTCCCCTCTGATAATCTCCGCTCACGTTTCCGACTTTTTATGTTTCACAGGGGTGGTGGTGACTTCGTGGTGTGGGAGGGAGGGGGGGAAGGGTAGTCGGTTGTGATACAACGTTTTCGTTCATGTACGATAAGAAACTTGGCCGCTGACAAAGGTGACACCGGGAGTTGCCGGAAAGACGTACTTGTACCGAGAGTGCGGTTTGATAACCTCCGCTGGGAAGGATCGACCGGCACGGTTGCCACGGGGAATATATCCGTAATTTGCTCGAGTGATAGTTGATGTCCTATTTCTGTCTGAACCTGGGAGGGGGGGGGGGACTTGGTGGGCACAATCGGCGGGCTAATGGGCTAGTTATCGCCGAAGAAAAAAAGAAGAAACAAGAACACAGCCACAAGTTTCCCAAGTCAAGGTTTACGAAGTGGACGAAAATGGTAACTAGATTCTCCTTGATCTTACAAAAGGAATAACCAAATGGACTATTACCGGAATCCTAATCCTGCAAAAAAAAAAAAAAAAAAAAAGACAGGCCGCCTCTCCCAAATATGAAAAGCGCAACACCCAACTCCAACCACCTCCCCTCCCCGCCCCGCCCACACATTACCCAGAAGGAAAAGAAGTAAAAGAAGTAAAAATAAAAATAAAAAATAGAAAATAACTCCTCCCGCCTCAGCAGGCTTTTCTGGCATAACATTTAGCCCATTTAAACGCAGTATTCTCCCTGCCGCACTCCTCCACAATTTCTGCATCGGCCCACATTCCCCCTTCTTTGACCTCCACTACCCCCGTCGCCAGGACCCCTGCCTCTCCGGTGGCGTACAGCTCATCATATAAAAATCTCCCAACTCGACTCGTCACGGTGGAAAGTTCATCTCCAATACTAGTCGTAGGCATCCACATATCACAAGTCTTGACCTCAGCCCACAAACCCATCTCTGTCGGCCCCATAGACTTGAGCGCCTTCAAAATTCCCCTCGAAGGCTTAATCACCCCCTGCGCAGTAGGAGCGGGGAGGACGCGATTCGCGATATAAGCCGTCGTTAGTGGACCCATGTTATTCAATAGCGGGTCGACGATGGTAAGTTCTAAATACCCACTGGGCTTTAATATGCGGTGGAGCTCGCGAAGGATTTGTGATATCTGCTGGTCGTGCGGAGTGCTTGAGGCCGTGCTCAAGAAGATGCGCGGGAGGGAGTGGGATACTATTACGTCGACGCTGGCGGAAGGGATAGTGGCAAGGGAGGTTAGAGATGGAGCCGTTATGAAAGCTAGGTTTGGGGGGTGGATGGCTGTTGGCGGGGGTCGGGGGCTCGTGGGGAGAATGAGGGTTTGGATATTGGAGGCTGGGTATGTTAAGGAGAGGTGCCAGGACCAGTTCGCTTTGATGGGTTAGCCATACCGAATTAAATGAGTTGCGGGCTGGAAGATGGGAGGGGAGGTTACCTATTCCCCCAGCGTCAAGGTCAAGTATTGTGCCCCCACTATTCAGCACCATCAAGTGATGTCCCGGAGAAAACAATACCCTCTCAAAGGATAACCACTTCATCGCGCTCAGGAACCAAGTCCTCCGTTCCAGAATACCCCTCAAATGAACAAATGACTCATCCGAGTTTACAGAAAAGTCATCCGTCTCACTGTCCTCAGCATCGTAATCGATAGCGGAGGCAGAGCAGACGGAAATTGACCCCCGTCTGGCGGTACCGTACTTGGCATAGGTGAAGAGCCGAGACGTGTTCGAGAAGGTCACCAGGAATTGGGTGAACAGATGGAGTAGCGACGTGGATAACTGCCGTCTGGTAGCCTCCTCCTCCTGCTCAATGCCTTCGCTCCGGAAACGCAATCTTCCATCTTCCGCAAAAATGATGCCTCCATCTCGTCGAGTTGGACGGCTGGCAGAGGAGTCGGGCCTCACGGAAGAGAAACTTGGGCGTTCGCCCTGACTTCCGAATGAGTGGCGTCGGGATACTGTTCCCGACCTTGAACTATTCAGCGATTTTGCCTTCGTTGAGGAAGGCTTTGGGACAAGGATGTAATCCGCCACAGTCCTCAAGTAACCCTGATCCTCGTGTGTCGCCTGACCCGCCGCATGTCTTCTTTCAGAGCTCAGGCCGGACCTCTCCGATGCAATAGTCCCCAATGAACCAGCTCTTCTCCTATTGTACAAATCATCTTCCTCCTTTTCCTCTAGCCTTGGAGCTTCCAAGGCCACCGGGGAGCCCACCGGTGGCGCCTTCCTCCCAAAAAACCTAAACCCTATCCCAAGCTTTGGTCCCGAAGACCTATTCGAGCTTCCCGAGGAACTCGAAACACTAGTAGTCCTAGAGGCCCTAAGGTCCACGCTCGAAGATGCACCTTCAGTTCCGGAAGAAATATGCCTGAAGGATTCCACCCTCGCTTCTCTCTCAGCTTCTAAGGCCTTCCGCAACTTCCGTTCCTTCTTTGTCGCCTCGCGATCCTCCTCGAAGCGCTGGTCAGGTTTGTAAACCAGCCGACTCAGATCATTCCTCTCGAATATGCTCCCCTTTCTAGGCCTCTCTCTAGTGGGGGATTCGGAGGAGGAGGCGGAAGTTGCAATCGAAGCAGGTGGGGAGGTACTCTCATCTGTTACTATCCGCTTGAGGGAGCTCCGGGAGGAAGCCAATCCACCACCGGTGGCGAAACTGTCTTCGGCGTCGGCGAGAAGGTCCTTCTTAGCAGATTTGTAGGATTCCAGATCGATTAGGCCGGCATCCTTTGCCTTCCGGAGGACTTTGTAGTCTTCGCGGTGGGTCTGGCTTTGCAGGGGTTTCTTGTATACCAAGTGGGACATGGCCCGTTGGGGGTGGGGGCTGTCTCCTCAGAGCGAATCAATTGGCCGGCGATGGATGGCGGGGTTGAAGGACCGGATATGCGGGCGGGGTATCTGGTTTGAGCAGCAATACAGAGGGACAAATGCTAACACGTGGAATACGCAAAACCTGCTTAGTTTTTTTTTTTTTTCAAAGCCAAGTTCAGAGGAGAGAGTGTGATGATAAAGGAGGAAGAGTTAGAGAAAATAGTGAGGATCACAACCTCGAAGTTCGAAACGTTGCGGAGGGCTGGAATCATAATATAGGTCAGAGACTAATGAATATGATACCGTAAAGCAAGCTCCCGTTTGGGATTTACCGATTTTTACCCCCTCCCCCCCGCCTCTCTGCCTTCCATTCAACTATCCACTCCACCCACCGTGCTTCCGCCCGCCTCGATGCTCTTCCCCCCACATGCCTATGCTCGAGCACAGCAACCACACCTATGCCCGTTCCTAAATGCCGGGACCAGAAAAAAAAAAGGGTATCTGCCAAAAGAATGCGGCGGCACCTCCCAGTGAGGCTTTGATGAATAAATTGTCCCCACGTGCGGGTAGTGACGCCTCTGATTTGCGAGGCCCCAGGTTGTGCAACATTTAGCCCAGAATCCCTACAGTACATGCCATAGTCCGGAACGCTTAATGGTTTAAATTTTTAGCTTGGTTACAGTATGGCTTTTCTCCCCCCTTCTTTTTCACCCCTACTTAAACAGTTCGATTGTTGCTCAGGATTTCTTTTTTTTTACCAGTGCCCTAATCAAGGAAGAAGCATATCAGGGACTCGACCCGAGCCCAAGCGCGTGGGGCAAAAGTCGAAAGATTGATTAAAACTCCTGATCGAATTTTGCGGGACAGGGTCGAATGAGTAGAAGCATACCAAACACGGGGGAGCCCTTAAGTATTGGATTCCGAAAAATAGGGCTTTTCGATCGGGCTCAAGCCCCTTCTTTGCTAAGTTGGTCGCATTCACGTGCGACGCCATTAAGAGAATTGTACCAGTTCTGTACCGGTACCCATACCCGTACGAGCACTGCTGATACAAGTACTATGTTGTGAAGTGCAACTCCCCCTCCATCTCCCCCTCCCACTTTCGCCTCAAGTTCGGAAAAGGCGAAGGAATTGATGAGGGGGGAGCACAGGTACGACCCGGACCAGGGCAAAATGGTTGGAGTTCAAGCAGAATGCGCTAAGCCTCACCAAATCCCCCCAGTCCACCGGTGAGGTTGAGTATTGCAGAATCTCAAGTACCGGTATTCGAAGCGTGTACTGTACTAAGCGGTCCAAAAGTTCCCTCTCTGGAAATGGTGGGGAAACAATACAAAAGGTGAAGTTCTCAGCCTCCCCAAAGGTAAGATAAGACGGGGAGCCAACCTGAACGGCTTACCGTAGTAGCACATTGTCCAACTACCGGTATTTGAGACCCTACTGCGCTGCGTATTATTGATAGTGCGCGCAATGCTTGTTTTCCACAAGAGCCGTGGCAGCAGTCTCTCGCCGCGCGGTGGGAAGAGGGCTCAGCTGACGGCGACCCAGGGTCTCGGGAGCGGTGGTGCACCCCAATGCCGCCCCGCCCTGGTTTAGAAAGAATCATGTAGAATATATCCACTCGAGTACGATCTTAAAATTGCGATAAGGCGCCGCTTCTGCGTATCTAAGAGCGATTTAGAATACGTGGTCATACATTCCACGAGTGATGAAAAGCCCACGGTAGTTGACAAATGCCTTGCCAATACGCCGCGCGAGTCAAAGGTCAAATGATGGACACGAAACATCACTTGCAGAGGTAGCAGTCAATTATTGCAAGAGCTATGCAGCACTTGTGCAAAATGCTGTAGGGGTACCGGAACTGAAGCGCATAAAAACAAGGCGGGGCAGATGTGGACAGTAGGTTAAGGGAACGGAAGTCGGCGGGGTGCTGATACACGGGGAGCTGGGGGTCGGTGGAAGCGCTGGGGGGTCTGGCGTGTACTCGAGTATCGTGCCATCTACCTTTTCAGGAGAGCGTTGTTACGAATGACTGCGCACGACAGCCGCCTCAGGCAAGAAATGCCCGAACATTGGAGGGATAATTTTGTTTTGCACAGAGGGAGAGGCACAGATGATTGGCCACATTCCTTTCCAATCCCTGTATTCGGGAACATCCTGCCCGAGACGATCACCACTGGACCACCGGGCAGTACCGGTTCCCGACGTCTTTCAAACCCTTGGGAATGAAAAGTAGATAAGTGGTTCACTTTTAGTAGGACACAATCCGACAGCCCCACGGGGCTATAGAATTAGCAGGAGCCCCGCAACATGGGCCACAGACGCGCAACTCACGCTCCGGAGACTTTGGAATACCTCGGCGCTGTTAAATCTCCGGAAACCCGTTACACTTGTATCTCCGCCAGCCTTGTATCCCCCGGGTTCAGAGACGAAAGATCCTGAGAAGGATTAGCTTTTTCCTTAACCTGTACTCGTAATTCTCCCTAACCTATCGTGAGCGGAAATGCTAGTTTCCACGGAGAATTTGATAGCGGAACTCATGAGTTTCTACCATACGGCACGGTGCCCCGCGGCAGCCATGGAGTCCCCGGGAGCAGGGATTCACGAAATATACTGTAGAGGTATGGGGGAAAGAAAATAAAAAAATAAAAAAAAGCCGTGCCTGTCTGAGAGCCCTTGCAAATTCACGACCCCTGCTTTAGGCACTTCTCGCTAGCTACGGGTTCCAGGTTCCAAAGACGTTATATCGTAACTTCGCTTACCCGTGCGAATTACTTATTCGACCAGACTTGCGCGGTAGCCGAGTAGGCGCAATGACAGGCGTGGCACGAGCTTGCTGTACTCTTCCAGCCAAGGACGGGCGGCGCCCCAATTTGCTGGACCCCGGTGGACTAAAAAGACGAATGAAAGTTGAGAACGTGATAGCTCATAATTCGGCAAGGGCAATATAATAACCCGTTCACAAAGCACCCAAGTACGACAGTGCAAGTTACCTACTCGAACATTCGAGCAGGTCAAAGTAGGTGTTCTACTCAACTTCTGCTCTTGAGGCCCAGAGAGCTCTCGGTACCACTCGGCACTCGTTCGGTCTCCCTTCTGTCTCCACTCAGCTGATTTCCCGTCTTCCAACGGAGGCCTGCCCGCCTACCCCCCCCCCCGTCTGGGTGTTTGAGGATACCGGTAACATTCTGCGCGTTATTGTACCATGGAGAAATCGGCTGTCATCTTCCCCTTTTAGATGCATCGCTCAAGTCCAACACTCGAGTCCAGTCGAGTGGATAGGACGAACTCCCCCACGTGCACGTGGGGTAATAATTTATCTTGGTGATATACAAGTAAGCTTAACATTGATTACCAGAACAGGAAGCCACGTGCATTTCGATAACTATCCGATAGTACTCCTCCCGTGTCTTTAGCAAGAAAGACGGCCGAGACCCTGCACTTGGGTACTTGTCAAGAGGTACCCAGAAACCGGGATTGAAGGAATAAACCAGAGTACCTGCACCTGCCCTGGGCAAAAGGTACTGACTGCACCGGGGACATGGGAGTGTGTGCTTTGTATTTCACTCAGATACCGGCGATTTTCCTTTTTACCGTATACCTACAGTAGGCAGAGCACCTGTGCCCGCAAATCCCCAGGGATTCGCGAGACGTACTTGTACCGTATGGCAAAAAAATCCGTGCATACAGTATTTGAGCGCCGGTACCGGTACTAGAGTACTTATGTAAATCCACGACCCATGCTTTCTAGTACTGAGCACCCAGGAAAAATGACACTAGGAGTACGGTACCGGTGCAAGCAGATCAACCCTCAATGCATGCAGGGCCAGTACCAACCAATCAAGGTACCCGAAATACAGATTCCCAAAGGGCCGCTGTTCGAACAAGGGTTGTTGGGGAACTCGTCACCTGTGGGGGTACCATACCCATCTCCCTAATCGGACACTCGCTACAGGCGGCCCCAACTACCGGTACCAGAGTGAAATTTGGCAGAGGTTTCCCCCATGAATTGCCCGTGGCAAAACAATGCCACGGGGGTTCCCCCTGGAGATTAAATGGCGTTTTTCCCCACTCGTGAGAAGCGATCCACGGGACACCAGCAGAAAAATTCCTAAACCCTCCATGAACAAAGAGGGACACTTCCTACGGTACTCGTACAGAAACTGCCGAAGCCATACGGTATCTTCGGAAGGAGCGTTTTTGCTAGCGCTCGAGTGCTAGTGCAAGAGGTACAAGTAGACCAGGGATAGCTCGGGAAGATGGCTGATTGAGAACAGGTTGGGTTGGTTGTACTAGTGCTCGAGTAGCTCGATAGCAGCCCGGGGTGTCCCAGTTAGTTCCCGGTAAAAAAAAGCAAAGGCAAACATTTGAAGTGCCCTTTTGCATGTACTCGTACTCGTACAAGTAGTTCAAGCCACCACTTTCAGGTAGGTTCCGGGTGGAGAGGGGCGGGGGGCATAAAACTGATATGATGCCCGCTAAAACAATAACAGCGGGCAGGGGCACTCGTAGAATGCACGCAGTGAGAGAATGCCAGCAAGGGGTCAAGTCAACAACTTGGGCCTGTTCGGGAGGCGGTTAAGTCCGGGATTCGATGGGAGAAACCGGCGCTTTTGACCGATCCTGTGATTTTAGAAGACTAATACTCGTACCAGTACTGAGTATTGTACTAGTGCAAGTATGATATGACAGGTGGCCAGCACAGGAACAGACCACAAGTTGTCGGGAAACTCGAGACCTGCGGGAAAGAGCCAAACCCCTGGGTTTGAAGTTTTTACAACATGATAACTCGCGCAGGTAAAATTCGAGGAAGAAAAAAACTCACCCCGACTGAACCGTCTGCCCCCGCTGCTTCCAAGACGGTTGGGCACGCCACAAACCCGATCCTCTGCATAAGCCTCCTTTCATTTGTCACAACTGCGGTGGAGGAAATCCATTCCGTGTCAGAGCCGCCAAACAATGGCTTTGCTACCTTGGTGCATCCGAACACGCCCCTTAACATTCACACAGCGGGTATCTCGGTACGAATAAATGTCTGCCATTCCGGGTTGTCATGGTATCATACCCCGGCTTGGGGAGATGCCACTTTCAATTCGGGCCATCATGCTTCAAGAATTCCTCGCAGCTCTTCGATATCTGCTCAGCCGATCCGGTTCATTAAACCCGGAAAACAGTTTCCACAGGGTTTAAATTGTCATCATGATCCCGAATCCTTCGACCGAAACTCCTTCTACTATAATATCGTACGAGTACGAGTATGGATAATTAAGGAGGCTAATTGCATGATGTGATAAGCACTTCCATAATAGGGTATCGGTACGGTAGGATAAACCTATTCGTATGCTATGGTGCAAAGTGCCTAAAGGCGGGTCCTCCGGTGAAACGGCAATTCTGTTGTAACCGATCAGGTTTGGGCCAATAATTGCCAAGACATGATGAGTAAGATGAAATAACATGTTAAGGGAAATGTGTAGAATAGAGGATTAACCAGAATTAGAATTTTTTATGCCTGTCATACTAATCACTGATTATTTCTATATCAGAGTCATTTATACTCTACAGTATTTTTCAGTCTGTCAGTAGGTAGATTCTATCACTTGTTTCACTCTCACCAAAATTTCCACTTTTCAATCTTGAACTACTTTTTCCTATGACATTAATTAAATTTAAAAAAACATAGGCCCTCCTCTCCTTCTGAATGGCTTTATCGCCTACGTTTTTTTTTGAAAATATTTGCTCTTATGATTGACTAGTTCAAGATCGCATTTGGCCTGTTTGGAGGACCCGGTTTGTGTCACTTTGCACCATACCTGTCGTATTATATCATGTAAAGTTATTGCGGCTGCCCAAGCCTAAAGCCTAAAGCCCGTGCCACACTAGTCGCTGCGTGGGATGCTTATCTAAGGGGTGGGGAAGTGGGCCACCAGGTGCACCACGGAAATCCATAATTCTCAAATCCCACCGCATTTTCCTTCCCCCGGTCAGCAGAGAGAAGGGAGAGGGGGGAATGACGGTCGGGGTTTGTTTTATTTTAGTACTTGAAGCCCCCAGCATACGCCTTCGGTGCCGGTCCTTGTAATAGTATTTGAAAAGAGTCGCATCATTGGTACGAGGGGCCGAAATGCCAACGTGATTATTATTATTATATTGGAGATGGCGCTGGGCGAGAGAGCTCTGCGGGAAAGTCACCCCCCGGAGCCGGATTACCGTAGGACCTTAATTTGCCACAGGGGAGGTGTTTCCGCCAAGGTTTTTACTTTTTCAAGGGAAATAGTTTCCTGAGAGGGTTTAGTTACTCTCGCGGGTTGAGCCACACTTGATTTGACCGCTCGGGGGGCAACTTCCAGTACCGGTAAATTTACAGTACCGTACTCGAGTACCTGCCGAATGATACGGTGGCCAAACGATGCGGTTTGTTCGGTCAGCCACGCTCTGTGTGCTGAGTAATCGGGCGTGTGGGGCTGCCTGTGCTATCATATATCATACCGGTGCGGTACTGGTATGGCCGGTCCTTGTGTGAATGCGACATGATTTTTCTGCCAAGTGTGCAAGAGGAGGGCTTGACTTGCAGGCCAAGCCAGGTCCCGCATTAACCGAAGTTAAGAATGGAAATTCTGGGGAAGCCCATACAAAGTATCATACTTGCACAACATCAGCGACCCCCCTTTCCTTTTTTCCACCCTTTCTTGCTCCTTCGAAATTAGATCTTGTCTTGGCATCCAAATTTGGCATATTTTTTGTCACGGGACGTTTACTTGTGGAGCCGAGGAAAAGCTGCCCGGCATCACTTTGAAGTACGAGTACTCGAGTATGATACAGTATCCAATTTCTCTCGAGACCGGCATTCTGTCCTTCTCCCCCTATATTTTAGCGGGCATCCCAGCTCCACTCGGGCGCAGCACGAATACCGGTAGGCTACCGCTATCCGGTGCCGGGCTCCCGAGCAATTGGGGTCGGAACTTGGTACGGGGGGAGGATGTGAAGTTCGCCATACGAAATCTTGTTCGAACGCCGTACAAGTACTGGTACGAGTATGGTACGAGTACGATACCGGTACCAGTACCAGTTACTTATACCCCCTGTGCCACCTACCACCTCTACTCCACGAGTACCTTTCTCGCCCGGCGACAACACCTCGGGCATCACAACTCTGATTTTCCGATGCTCCTTCCCCTCCACAACTCATGAGCGGCTGATGCGAAAATTTTCACTGTTTCTGCCAGATTTCCCCTGCAAGGCTGAATGCCAACAACAGACAGCTCACCAGCAACACGTGGTGAGTGAAAATTTTATTCCCTCCATTACAATCCGTGTTCCTATTCCCATTCCCCCCCATCGGTTATAAATTATTCTCTTTCCTGTGTTGATTTTTCTTTGTTTTTTTTAGCTCTCTTGTGCTTTCTTTTTCTTTCTTTCTTTCCATCTCGTCCTGCTGTTTACAGCGACTTTGAAAGTTGGGATGTTCAGTATTGATACTGCACACCATAGCCGTATTTGCAATAATTGACACCGTTAACCTTCTCATAAATGGCGGCAGCAGTCAGCCAAAACCCTAGAACGCACACACCCTGTCCCACTTGTGACTGTCCAACGTTATCTTCTTAACCAACAGATCACTTTCGAGTATCCACGGGGGGTCTGCCCGCCAGTCCTTGTCCACTCGGGATCAACAGGTTGTTTGGGGGCGTGATCAATTCAAAGGGAGGGTGGGAGGGAGAGAGAGAGGGGGAGGAGGAGAAAGAGGGGGAGAAAGAGGAGGAGAACAAGAAGGGATGGTGGTGTATTTACTTCTCGATAGTGTAGGCACCACTTTTCCGTTCGAGAGTGCTCAAGCAAGAGAGTCTGACAAAGTTAAGCAGGATGGTTCCAACGACAGCTGACAAGGAGCCGTTCAACAATAATTCATGTTGCCGCAATCGCGGATGGGAAGCCCTCATTTAGGGAAAAGGTTTCTCGTTTAGATGGGATTAAACCAGATGGGCACGATGCCTCACTCAACCCTTCGACTCGGTAAGTGATTGTTTCCCTTTTCTCTCCGTCCACCCGGGCCCCAATTTTAACCCGTTGGCCTCGGCAGACAGATCGTTGCCGGAAATCCTCTTGCTGGCCTCGGACCACTGCAACGATTGATCACCGACACCTAGGCAAACACCTGGCGGTTCGCACGACGATTTCCGCCGGAGATGTTGTCCGCAACAAGGCGAGATAAGACGCCCAGGCTGATTAGCGGTAACCAGTTAGCCGGATACCTTCCCCACGAAGGTATCACGGCTCGAGCCTCTGAAGGGGGCCTCTGAAGGACTAGCGCACGAGGTCTGGGTAATCTTATTAGAACTAGAATGGACTTCGACACGCGCACACCACTGCGGAATCACGCCCCACCTCCTCTCTCTCCCTTGGTCGGTTGTGGGGTAACGAGGAAAACTGAGTCTCTCGATCCCCGGCGTATTACTTGGTGTGTGTTAATATAATCGGGAGAAAATAGGTTCGCGATGAACGGAGAAAAAAATAAAAATAAAAATAGGAAAAATATAAAAAAATGAAGAGACAATGGCTCCCTTCCCAACGTACTTCAAGCATTTTGCGATTCGAGATGCTTTCTTTTTCACTCCTTTCCAACAATTTTCTCGAACGTACAAACTTTATGGGCTTGTCGGGGGAGAGAGGTTTAATTCGCTCATTCTCTTTACACCCCCGCTGGAGTGACTGCTAGGCGACGGCATGCGCGGCGCGAGTTTCTGATCGGGAGCCGTCAGTTTTCTCCTCTCTCTCTCTCTTTCTCTCTCTCCCCACGCATTCCCAGTCGGCGAGCCAATTGTGAAAAAAGCGGAGAACGACTTACAGTCATACAAAAATTATCTTCCGGTGAGCTTCCCTCCTCTTCATCCTTTATAGACCGGTCTGGAGGAGTCGTTGGCTAACAATTGGTTTAGAAGTTCTGGCCTAGGGCTTGCTGTGCAAGCAGAAACGATTTCCGAAGCCTGGAAAAATGTCTTTGGGGGGGGGGGAATGGGCCTGGTCCCCTTCCCACAAGGATTGGATTGATGTTATCCTGAACAGACAACGCGACCAGCCCCCTTAGCTTCTCTCATTATTCAGACGACGCCAAAAATAACTTCACCCCCATATCTTTTCTGCACTATTCTCCCTCCTTTAGCTGTGGGCGTGGGATTTCCCCGTTCTTCAGCGCGGCGGTTTCTTGCGAGGAAAGGGGAGTGTGGAGGAAGGTTATCATATGTACTTGGACCATTTCTGAGATTACGGTCGCTTGGGGACATCCGGACACTTCCTGGTACCAACATTGGCTTTGGGTCATCCGCTGGTGACTGCGGCTGTTGTCCCTCTCCCTGTGTCACGAGTGATCTGGGTGGTCTACGTTTTTGTCAACCTTGTAGGTGGCCATCGACGAGACATATGCTTTAGGTATCTCGGTGCGCGGTAATTTCCCACCACTGATGTTGTTCTGGCAGAGCTGGTGTGTCCCACGGGCGAGGGTGCGAGCGAGTTGAGTGCGGGGAAGCTGTGGGTGAGTTGTCCTGCACTAAACCAATAAATGTTACACAAATGCTGAACTACCCAGGAACCTCCCGACGTTCGAGAACCTCCCGGACTCAGGAACCGGAATTCTTCAAACAGGTACCAACGCCATTAAAGCCTACCCCGCACCAAGAGCCGCGCCGCCGGAGTGCTTCATGCAGTATGAGTTACAACAACACCCCACTTCGAAACCACTATTCGGATTGCTGTGGGGTGTGAATGTGGGGTTTCGCCCATCGGCAGTGTGCAGCCGTGGGTTGATTTTCAGCGGACACTTTGCGGATCGTCAAGATAAGCTTGTGTCGTTGACCTTGTTTGTGAGGTTGCTTGGCGCAAGTGTGGGGGAGGGGGGGAGCTGTTTTTCACCAATTGAAAGTGGGAACTTGAAGCAGTAATCCCGCATTACGAGGCTTGTAGTGCACGGCTCTCCACGGACCATTGAATAACTGGTATCAGGAGGCGGTCTCCACTGTACCATATTCTTCTGTTCGATTAATGAAATATCGCTCTGGGATAGGCGGAAGTAAGTTTTTTTTTTCTTGCTTTCCCTTCGCGTGTGCCCCCACCAGTGCCCCCCACATATCCTGAGGCATGGTACGGAAGTCGTGAAAGTTTATAGGGCTAAATGATAAAGCCCCTCTAATAGCGATACCACACGTTCGGGGAAAAGAGAATTCACTCTGAATTGGACCTGGGTAAGCTGGTTTATGTTCCATCATATACAGGTTCATAGGTCGGAGATTTGGGTGATGAGTTTTTCTTTTATTTTTTTCTCGTTACATTTCACATTTCCCCTCTGCTGCTCCTGGCCAGGGGAGGAGGGGAAATGAAGGAATAAAAATAGAAAGAAGAAAAAAAAGAGAGAAACGGAAAGAAGAACAAGAGTCTAGTTTTTTTTTTTCCTTCTAATGTACCGGTATCGCCCCTGCTGTCGGAAGGCTTCTTTTCTTCCCAATCATTACAGCAGTGAATAGAGAAGGAGCGAGTATAGGGGATCTGGACTTGTGAAATGGCGCAAGGTGTAATGCCCAAGACCCGATAGCCAAAATTCTCCTTTTTTGTCGTATCGTATAAGGAAGGAAATTTTCTCAGATCATACTCCTGCATTACACTGCCAGCTCTGAGACGGAACATCCTAGGGGGGGTCCAAAAATTGAGGCAGGTATGGGAAGCCCAGAAAAGAAAAAGGGAGGGTGTCCTGGCATTCTGCGTTCTCTCCAGTGCCTCCAGACATTCGATTACCGGGGGTGAGTATCGACGGTAGCGACGTGGATGAAGGGCTTCGGTGCGCTCAACGATCGGTTCGTAGCGGTCTTCCGCTGTTACGTCTCATAATTCACATGGTACGGGAGCGACTACGATGGGGATTCCTAGGGATTATTGGGGTTCAGGGGGGGATTTGGCCGAGAGTCGCGTGCTGGGATGTGGGGGGACTTGGCTGGTGATTTAATTATTGGCGGTGGTATGGAATGGATGAGGTCTGGGTTCTGGTCCCGCAGTTGTCATTCGCTGGTCGTCCCCACCGGCATCACTATATGACCTGGTCACAATTGTCAAGTGGGTCATCCACTTGACTGGTCAAGACCCGATGTCACCGTTCACAAATGACCCCCGGAAGTGGTACAGGGAAGAATCCTGTGAGAGGCTTTACACGAAGCAGTTCAAGTATTTAATAGGGCCAATATCTCTTTTTCTCTCTCGATTCCAGTCCTCCAAATAAGTCGGGAATCACCTTTCACTACCCCACCTATCTTCTACTATTCCATCTGACTCTTTTTATTACTTTTTGATATCTTAATGGTATCTTATCCCCTTTCTGTCATTAGACCACTGTCCGCATATTCCCTCCCACGAAGAGTATCGTATAGCTTCCCGGCACATCTGCTACGCCTACTCTCGGCTTAGCATAACACCGAACCGCCAGACCTTTTCCAAAATGGCCAAAGCCCAACAAATACAATCAGCGGCTATTCCTGTCACTCTCCGACCCATCCAAACGGTAAACATTAATCCTACCAACGTCAATACTACCCCTCGTGGCTCAGCGGAGAATCACGTTGTGTCCAACAGGCGTGGGCAAATGCAAGGTTAGCCGTACACACTCTTTCCCCCACCCGGCACCAATGGTGCGAACTAACAATCACCGTCGTTTCCCCCAATAGAGGCACAACCCCCGAGAGATCTCCAACACGTAAGGGAATGGGTGCTTGCCATGAATAGCCCTGAGACGAGCATTGGAAGGCAGGAGAGGATCGCAGAGGGTATACGTCAGATCGCCGCCCTCACTCGCACCCGAGATAATCATCGGGATAACGGCAGCGGCGATGGGCAAGATGGGGGGGCCCATTGTCCGGCCACCGACGGCCACTGCCAGGAGCAGGGTTACGGCCCGTACGGGATTCACATAGCATGTGTATCATTAGATTTCTCGACGTACTGCGAATAGCTTGTTTTGTGCTTCGTAGTACTGGTCGAAGATCATATACTTGATATGTGGCTGGGAGAATGTTTTCATTTTCTTTTCGTCTTCCTTTTACTCTCTCGTATCCTCTTTTTCCTATTCCTTTCCGACGCTCTTTTGAGGTTATTGGGGGTGGTTGTGTACGAGTAAACATGTCTCTTGGCCATTATTCTACTACCAAACGGTCTGCGCTGGGATAAAGTAGGTAGGGCGAACTATCTGCAATGTGAAATCTTGGAAGGAGCAGCTTGAGTATTTGTTCTCATCGGACAGGCACATGAGGTAAAGTGGCCTAGAGATGAAGCCTAGATTCTCTTCGACTCCTGCCGTTTATGCTAACATCTTTGAGTGCTCGATTATTCCTGCGGTTGCGAAGAAAGCTAGGAAGCAGTGTGTTCCTATCGCATCATTAGCCATCCCAAGCGACTGGCGTACAGTACTCGTACAGGCTTGATCCAAGTTCACGCTACCGCTCTGCTCGGGCTTCTGTGGCGTGGGATACTTTAGATAAATGCTCTTGACAGATCTTAGCAAGTCTCATCAGCATACTCTCCCTGTTTACGATTGTGATGCTGGGAATCTCATCATGACAGCAATTTCCGGTACGAGTACGCCTGTGAAGTACAGCGCAGAGGTAACGCTGAAGGCAAACCTTTTGTGGAGTTACCAATACATTTCTCCCGGGGTACCCGGATCGAAACACTCGTTTGAAAACCCGACACGCTCAACCAGTCAGACCGAGATCAAACACTGTCGGGCACGGCGTCACCCCCCGAGCGACCTAAGCCCCCCCCCCCCCGGGGGGCGATTATAATGCGGTTCCCTTACGGGCCTGTAATAGTAGCCTTGTCACGTGGTGGCTGAAGTGGGCTAAGTTTGTGCTCCGGGATCACGGCACTTGGGCACTCCTGGATCACACATTCTACGTTCTTATTGGCACTTCCCCGGTGAGGAAAAAAACAAACATGAATAGAGGGCATTGGTTGTGCCGCCTCGGCGCCCACAGGCCCAGGAGTGTGTACTCGTGCCGGCAATGTAAAGAGGCTTCATAATGGGCAATGAGTTAGTAATGACGCCCGGTGGTTATATATGATATAACTCCTGACGGCATACAACTTAACTTTTGGCCGAATTGGACGAGGGCGAAACGAAACGATGCCCCAATTGGCAGCGGGACTGATCCTGCCCCCACACAATGCACCTGTTGGTACACCTACTTGGAGCCCTGCACTCTCATTGACGATTATTGTGGGCTTCTCCGGGGGATGCAAGTCTCACGTAAGAGGCCATCCCCTCCAAAAGCGGAAATAAGGGGGGAGAGCAACACAGGACCTCACTCGGAATGCGAGTTGGTGACTGCGCCCACGCTATGGGCAGTCGCCTTCCCGCGCGGATAGCGTAAGGCTCTGTTTGGCGGGAACGGAACCGTTTGGGACTGTTCAATTTTCTCATACAAAACGACCGTTACGAAACGGAAGGGTAAGAAAATTTGTATAGGGAACGGAACGGAACGGACGCGAACGGTCGTATCCAAACAGACCCTAAATGAGCTCACCATTAAGCACGTGCTCGAGCGCATCGACAATTTAATACATTGTTGGTGTCGGGGGTGAGTTCTGACCTGGCGCCTGCGCCGATCTTAACAGCGCCTTATAGCGTTCGATTGCTTCGTGTGCGGTGCTCAATCTACACGGGAATGCCAAAAGAAAAAAGGGCGAAGACAAGGATCGGCAAGATCCTTTGGGGTACTGGGGTGAGCACTCGAGTAAGTTAGATAGCCCGCATGAGTTGAAAGAAACGAGGCCTTGCAGACACGAACAGCCCTGGTGTGGATACCAAGCACGTTATCTTATCGAGGGCAGGATAGCACGAGGCAAGAGTTGTGGAATTGGGCTCAGCACAGACCAGTCGCATAGGGATCACTCACAGCCCCGGAAACCCCCTTCAGAAGCTCCGACTCGTATCCCTGAAGGGAAGTCAACACCAACACAGCTGGTCTGGGCTTCTAAGCCTACATCTTCGCTTCCTTTCCACTGGGTTTATCGATCGACCAACATTACCCCCGCACTTCTGGACCACCCGAGAACACACCGTGATTCTGACAGCCCCCCTCCGGCACTCGGTAGCAAGTGGTACGCACCAACCTTCAGTGACTAAACATACTGTGGCCATAATGCGCTATATCCCAAGGGTAAGGTTTTTGTTTATTTTGTTTTTCTTTTCTTCCCCCCGCGCGGGCTGCGCGCCAAGGCTTCCCCGCTCTCTTTAATACCGTACGAGCAAAATCTCGTAAAATCCACTATCTCTGGCAGCCCCATTCTCCAGGCCCAGAGGCTTTTGCCCTTGGAAAGGATTAACATTTTCCTTTACCCAGTTTAATATCAGCCCTCGCGATGTGCTGGATCTCATTAACGGGCGCTAGCAGTCTGTTGACCTGTCAAACTAAACCTATCCTGGGGCGACGGAGGCAATGGACTTCACGAGATTTTACGGTACTCTTCCTACGGGGCTGGGCAAACCTTCCACTGCCAGCGAACGGTGTTTAACGGGCTTATATCGTCATACAATTCTGGGTCCGAAATGTACGAGTAGAAGGGCCATGCAATATTCCTGCAAGGGTTTTCTGAGGCCTTGGGGATCGGCTGGGCAAAGGGCTGCATGCATTGGGGAGCGGAGAGCCTAATAGGGTACCCGTGGCAACATACTGTACTTGTACAGGGAAATGTATCTTTCTGTGCTATGTGGCTTGTGCCTGGCTGACGCTGCGGTGGCAGAAAACCGTTACCAACAGATACCGCTGCTCCGCACCATCCTCCCCCCCGAGCCTTCTAAACACTGTACTCTCGAAAGGACACATTGTACAGCAACTCCCACGTGCCCGGTAAGTCACTCGGGTCTTGGGCGGAGTGAGGTGCGGTGTCCATCGGGCCTTGAACCACATCATCCGACCCGCTTAATCGGAATCATCAAACTTCTCGCACGTTCTTGCACACCCGCCAGGATCACACACCATGGTAGTAGCCCGGCTAGCGATGGCCTTCGATCTGTCATACTATGATTTGGCTCCACCCCTGGTGCCCGTTTCCTCTTCTGCCCAAAACCGCGAGCAGATTCAAATCTACCAGATCGGGGCCCCTGCGGAGCCGCCAGACAGCGCTTGTGACAAAGCATCACTAATGGCCGTACCTCGTATTGGGATATCTTCCCAGCGCTCAAGGATACCAACACCAAGGCATCCACAATTCTAGGCTTATCGACGATTTGCTCGCGTGTTCTATTAGCCCGTGGTGAGGCGAGAGGTGTATCGGCTTCCATTGGCTCATTTCAACGAGATCCCCCGTTTGTGGGAACCTCGATCTCGAGCAGTATGTCATGTGCTCAGATATGGTGCAGCTGCCGCCCTACACCCGGTGGCACCGTTCTCTCTTGCGTACTCCGGTTCATATATCGCAAGGTCATGCCGGGAATCTCGAAGGAGCGGAACACTTGCACCAACCCCAGGGTAGGAACTCCTCCATACACGGGATACGCCGTGCACTGTTCCCTGAGGATTCATTGATGAACTGAATTGCGGGAGTATCTGTTTCTTCAGTCCTTTTAGAACTCCCTGCAGGTTACTCGCCGAAAGTCGGAGCGCTAGACATGCCTTAGTTGCAATAACGGGGCTAATTTGTTGGATTTCCTAGGATCTTGGTAATTGCTTTTTGAACATTGCGATGGTAGCCTGGTATTATCGCAATGCCGGCCCTGTCGGTGACAAAGTCGCTCTCACGAGTCCTTTGATCGGGTGGTTTCGGGATTCTATTTATAACATCTTATTTCAACGAATTAAGCTTCAACCATTGTGGTCCGATGCCTGGTTTGTTTACCTGGAGTTGTGCTTCTAGGATTGCAGGCAGGGATAGCCCCGCGACCGGAACCCGGATCTAGACGTCTTGCATCGCTGGTTACGTACGCAGCAGTCACTATAATCTCGACCCCGGGGTATTCGTCACGGCATCGGAGAGCGGAATTCCCCGCCTACGGGCTTTTAATCTCGGCATATGACCGATCACCGCCGATATCAGGCCTGTCCGGCGCAGTCTTTGGAATAGCATTTTCCAAAGACCCGCCTCTGTCGCCATTCAACTGGTTCGGTAGGATTATGATAGAGGACGGTGCGCCAAGAAATGGGCAGGAAGGCGTCCAGGATGTTTCGTCCGGGGTGACAGGTCGCAATCTTGCTGATTCACCTACGGTACTCGAGTAGAGGCTTGTGGTACTGTACTGTACTCGGGCACGGCATGGGTTGTGGGGGGCGACCAACGAGATACCGATCCGCTGATCTGTTTTGGGAAAGTTGATAGATTAAAGTGTCAGCCTTGGCCGGGGTGAAAATTTCCACGATAGTTGGCGCTGGAGATAGAATCCGGTGATAAGCCCTTTTTTTTTTTTTTTACCTATATTATGGCAGGGGTACGGTACGAGTACCGGAAGTCTCTCGTCGGGGGGCATTTTCGTGTAGGAGGAATTGCTCGCTGTTGATCCCTGTGAGTCGCCCGCCTGGCGAGGTGGGGGCTGTGAGCCTCAGTTAGCGACCTGTAGCCTTACTTGCCGTTTTCAAAAGTATCCAGAAATCGGGCAAATGGCTTGGCAGCATGGACGACCGCATTATTTCCTTCATTGGGTACAAGAGTGAGTAGAAAAATGCGGCAGAGCATCTGACGGTGCTCCTCGAGAATTTGCCCTACTTTACCATCCTGATTCTTCCAGTTGTATTCGAGTACATAGTTAAACCGAGGGGACGATAACCGCCGAGCCGGGCCCGGTTTCCGGATGCTTTTGAGAGCGGCGAGCAGTCTGGTGTCGGGATCGACGTGGAGCCACCGTGCGTTCCTTCCTTCCTTTGTGAAACAGTGGTAGGTTGATGGGCCGCTCTTGGCGCTTATTCATGCTCAAAATGGCAAAAGTTTTCCCTGTCCTCTAAATGAGGCTGGTCGAACCACGGCTTCAGCGCTATCGGACCGGTAATTCATCTACCGTACTCGGGCACACTCGCTTGATATCTAGCCTTGTTGGCGCTTTGCGAGGAGAATTTGTGCTAGGCATGGCACACTGCCCCGGCAAAACACGGACGATACCAGGCACAGCGAAGTTTTGGCGAAAAAAAAAAGAGAGAGAAACAAAGGGGAGGACAAAACGAGAACAACTTTTGGCAAGCCATTATCAGAGCGGGATGCGCTGCCGGTGGAAGCCGTAGCTGACAATTGAATTGTGCCAAATGGCGAACTGGTTCATCTCTCCATGACACCTAGTCTACATGTAGACTCAGGCATCTTTTTGTGGCGTACCGTATTATCATGCGATTCGCTATCTCCGTTCCGCCCCTAATCTCCATCTTCAGAGACAGAAGGACTGAAGAAGGCTTAGCGCTTTCCTGACACGGTATAGCCTACCGGTAAGTTACTTGGCGTATCGGATCACGTCAACTGGATTCCACCATTCGGTTAACTGACAGAGCCAAACCCATACCGGTATTGGAATGGTGTCGCGGTTGGCAGGGATATTCATGACATGGCGGAGGTGGCGAATCCCAAGAGTCAACACGGCACCGGGCAGATTGGGAAGCACAATGCAACTTTATTATCGTCCATAATGGCAATGTCAGACAGAACATGCCTGTTCAGGCACACCTGACAGAACTCTCGAGTATGAGAAATCTCTGCTTTTCAAAAGAAAAAGAGAAAAAAAAAGAAAAAAAAAGAAAGAAAAAAAGCAAAGAATAGGGAAAAAAAAGAAAAACTTGTGATAATACATTGCCGCACCAACAAAACCGTCTCAGGTCTGTTGAAGAAAAAAGAACAAAAAGGACATGACAGCTTTTTTTAGGGCTGGATTTGAAAGCCCTAGCTTCCCCACTTTTGTTAAATTGACCACGGACAGGGTATGATATATGATGAGGGGGGGCATCAGTGAGGAACAGGGGTGAAAAGATTATTTTTATTTTATTTTTTTATTGCCCAAGACCCTCAACACTTT